GCATTTTTGCTAGCCTGTTTTTGTGCCGCTCCAATCTGTCATTGTACCGGCTAGAAAGCTGATTTATCGCCTGCGATCCAGTATCACTCCAAAATATTTGGCATCATTCGCGTGCAGCACTGGGTTTCCCTTCAAAAGCACGGCTGGTGGCGTTCTCCGCCTCAGCGTGTAGCAAAACTTTGACGGATTTGCTTCCGTTGATGGCAATGTTCCATCGCCTTGCCCAGTCCGCTAATTTTATCGCAAAGTCTTAGATGCCATCCGCTGCATCGTACTCACAACGGGACCTGTATGTGATGCATACATCATCTGCGAAGGTGGACAGCATTGATGCTCCATACAGGCTGCTATCAGGCTGTGGCATGTCGTGGATGTACAGGCAGTAAAGCAGAGGGCCGAGGACACTACCCTGTGGTACACCAGCTGCCACAACGCGCTCAGTGGATATCGCCGTATGGAAGCGTACCAAAACGCCTTCCCTCAAGATACAATAACTTCCGCTACCTCACTTGGGTCGAATGGCTCAATAGGCAGATCCATTTGAAGCGCTTAAGTCAGCTGGTCGTCAGTATCCTGGACTTCTTGCAGGCTGGCCAAATTGAATGGCTGGAAGCGCTTGGCAAGATGTGTAGCAAACACCTCTTCTTGCTCCAAGTCCGTCCGACACCACGTCCCGTTACTGTCGGCCAGAGGCGCTTTCCTTACGCAACGCCTTTTAATACCGCGCGTGGCCTTCCAGAGAGAGTGCGTTGCGCCACTTGCAACCCCAAACCATGCAGATTTGTGCTCCTCAAGTGCATGGCGGAGCCTAATCCTTGCTCTATTCCACTCGGCTTTGTCCAAGGGGTGACGAGATCTCATCTATCTGGAGCGTATGCGCCTCTTTTTGGCAATGAGCAGCAGAATTTCTCTGTTTACCAGAATCCTGTCGGCTGCAGGTCGCCGAGGCGCTGTGCCAGAGGCCCTTCTAGCTGCTGCCTAAACAGATCAATCGGACGCGTCGATAGCATCATCAATATCGTTTCCAGAGCTCATCTCCACATTGAGGTGAAGTGTCGACTCGAGGTGCTCATGGAACCAATCTAGGTTAGTACGCCTAGTGATTAGCCGTTCCGTCCTAGGATAGCATAGAGCAGACGCATCCAGCGTAATTATGAGGGGTAGATGATCAGAGCTGAGATCAACAACCGCTCTTATGTCCGCGTGGATGCTCACTAATCCTTTGGTCAGAGCAAAATCGATGTAGCCTGGTGAGCCTCTGCTGCCGTACGGATATCTCGTAGCTCCCCCAGAGCGTTAATCTCTAAACTCAGGACGAGGTTTCCAAGCGCATGGCCTCTTTGGTTGCACCTTCCTACTCCCCAAAGCCAATGGGACGAATTCCAGTCTCCGGCGATGGCGAATTTAGAACGATGCTGCTCCAGAATCGCCTCAAACTCATCTGTAGTCCAGACAAACCTCGGTGGACAGTAAATTGCCCCAAAGTTAAAAGGATTAAAAGGATTAAAATAATAAAGGATTAAAATAGCAGCGCCTCCTTTGGCATTGCCGGTACTCGGGTCGTTAGCAGTGCATGCCTCAAAGCCAAATATTTTTGGTGCCAGCAGCTCCTTGCAGTGTGTCTCGCTGAGCAGCAAGACATCAATCTCGTGTCGCCGCATGAAACAATCTATTTCGTGCAGCTTCATGGCAACACCATCGGCGTTCCACACAAGGATGCGCAGCGGCATCATTATCGTGTCTTTTGCGCTTGAAAAGCTGTGAGCAAATTCAGTATTTGCCCCTTCTGCTGTGTCTGTTGTTGTTGCTGTTTCAGCATCATCATCATTAGCTCCATCTGCTCCTCTTGGAGTGAGCGGAGAGAGCTAATGCTTTCATTAAGCGCTTGCAATATGGCATCAATGTTGCCACTGGCCATTGGATGATGTGGATCCCTCGCTGTCCTTTAGCTGCTGCGGCTCCTGTCCTTAGGCAACTGCTGTTGCTGTTGATGTTGGGACTGCTGCTGCTGTTGCTTAGCTACATCCGCATATGAGACCCCGCTTTGAGGAGTGGCCACCGGTCTGCCTCTAGGAATAGCTAGTGGTCCCTCGTTGCTCACGCTTCTGCCGCCAACACCAAAGTTAGTGAGCAGCTGGATGTCTGCTGCAATGTCCAGCATTACTAACAGCTGGTAGAATGCGTGCACAAGTGTGACGCCTAAAAGAAAAGGAATGAGGAAAGCCTTGACGGCAAATCAATGACGCCATTGCCCCCCTCTCTTGCACCACTGGATTCTACCATTGGGGTATTCCATGAACCGCTGCGCAGCAAGTCTCTGGTAGTTTTC